CTTTTATTATCTCATTATATCTATCATCACGATCAGGCGAACAAAGCTTATAGTAGGCATTACTATCTAAATCCATCTTTATAAATGTTTAAGCGATAAAATAGTGATTTATAGTGATTTATATCAGTTTGTAACAAGTATATTATAATAAATATTGGATTCATTTTTATTCGATTATAAGCATATCGGGGATTTAGCCGAAGGCGCATTATGATTCGGTTAAATTAGATCAGAGGGCTAAATTATTTCAGATCCATTATTACGTAATTATATCACAAGAAATGTCTCTTGATCTATGGAATTTGGGAAAATGATTACGAATAAAATCCACATTCAACAAATACTTGCTATCGCTCTATTTTTTCTGATGATTGAGCAGTCCAGGCTTGTCAAAAGAATGGATTAATTATATGGCGCAGTACATTATCGAACTTGATTTCGGCAATTACATTCGGTTTCATCCTTACTCTTTCGGCCTTTAAATGTAATTTATAAATCACGTACACGTTACAATTTGTAACGCAGGTCACTTGCCAAAAAAAAATTCACACAATTATCCATTTTTTATTTTTCCGAATAAACCTAAAGTTTCATTAAGTTTGCTAATCATTTCCTGCCATATATTTAATCTGATAACTAAATATTTTGATTTTCTTCCCTAATTATATAGCAACAAGAATGAAAAAAGCCTTGGATACTTTCAAAAAAATTAACCATAGCAAACAACTAGAATAACATTTAAAGAATTTATGTGCTTTTACACTTATTGATTTTCGTAGTTTTTTCCATCAAGCTAACAACTGGAATCATCGTACTTCTACGTGCCTTTGGTGTGATTGTCGGAAGACGGGAGAAGCTATTATGGCAAGAAATATTGTCAGATAATCCCTTGTTATTTTCACTAGAATAAAAACTATCAATTCGACACTGGATAGCAAACAAAAAAAGATAAGTATGTGAAAACTCAAAATTTTTTGACATAAATCAAAAAGAATTTACCTTGAAATAAAACGTTTCTACTATCAGCTTTCTTACGAGGTTAAACTCAGAAAGTTTCTGAGCGAGCTTAATTTCGGAGAGTTGAAAGTATCGGTAAATCCCATCATATTCTAGATCCATCATTCCCAAATAGATATAACCTTCTGTAATGTTTTAACAGAAAGTGAATTAGAAAACCGGAAACGAACCGGAAATGCAAAAAAGTGTAAAAAGTAGATTTACCACAAATATGTGCTCCAAAGGACTTAGGTTTTGGTGTGTTTTCACGCGAAGAAATTATTCTGTTGATGCCCCCCTGGCAAAGGATGGCTACTTTATAAAGATTGTAGCCTCCAATTTTGCTATTTCTCGTGACTGAGAGATGTTTGGCTTCTACGAAGCACGTTTCTTCATTCTCGCCTTTTTTCATAACTCGATATATTGTAATGTCTGGTTTTCTGCCTTTGGAACGTCCGTAAGTCGCTCGGTGCTCTCTTGAAGATAGACTTTCGGTGTTTGCCCTATTAAATAAAGAACAAGTAAAGATAAAGAACAATGTCAATGATTAAATACAAAAAAAATCTCTCAAATTTATTACCAAATAATCTCATAATTCGGATCACGGAACATTTCTTTGAAAGCGTCATGTACATAGTCATGTACAAACGTATCCTCGTTTTTGTTCCTTGAATCTGGATACATGTGCATCCTTTCAAAACTTGAAGAAAAAGATCATATGGATAGTTATTGGAAAGAAACGGCAAGAAAATATAAGATTGAAATCCAAGAATCTTACAATGCACGTGAAACTGCTTGGGTAGCTTCAAACAAACGCCTCTCATTATCCGAATAGATGACTTTGTCACGATATTTCCCCCACATGTCATAGAACTTGGAACGAAGCTCATCTATATCATTAATCTCCTATTTTTGATTGCAAAAAAGATATTAGATTATAATTATCACAGGTCCGAATGTACTAGACACATGACAATACCTCTTCATATTCGTCCATCATTTCTCCGAGGAAACTGGGTGGAGTTTGTTGCTTTGGCTGACGTATAGAAATACGCCATTTTCGTTCATCATCCATATCTAAGTACAAAGGTTTTTTCATTGTTGTCGAGTCAATAAACATGATATTGTGAAGGGACCTGTAATACAAATGAACTTGTTAGATAATCAGACGTCCTTGAGATGTAAATCAATCATATTCAATCATACTTACAAGATCGCCTCACGGTCTGACGAAAAGTTAAAAGTTTCGCCAACCACTAGTTTATCAATATTACTAATTTGATATTTGCGAAATCCATCTGAAACATTGTAGTCTTCAATATACCACTAAAAGTGCAAAGCAATGATCAATACAGACTTTTTTTTTCCTGCGGATCCGTGGTAAACTTACATCCTTCTGTGAAGTATGGTCACATAGATCCCGGCGTATTCTTAGATATGTGTCGCGCATCATTTTTGTGTCAGTCATGATATCCCCATCCTGCATATAGATTAAGTTAGTCATTGGAAAGACCGAAAAAAATATATTTGTTTTAACGCCTCATCATTTCTATAACTTGTTCATTTACTTCATTTACAATTATCGGAGGAATCGTTTCTGTGTCTTCTAGTTCCTGATTAGGAGATGATGATGATTCTTCGTTACAGGTTGATTTCACTTCCGTCTCATTGGCAGTACTAATTGTTCTGATCTGCACATATTCGAAAGGTGAGAAGACATTTTTTGTTGCGTAAAAACACAGTTGAAAATTATAACTACCTTATTTTCCGAAGTTTGTGGCTGAGCCTGTGAAAGTTGAAAAGAGGGAGTAGTAACCGCACACAAAGGAGAGACTTGAACATTATTTTGATCTTCTGTTATTATTGTGAAGATGTTTAGCAATAAGAAACTTTGTAGTGATAGCTAGTATCTTAAATAATTTAAACCAAATATAACCGGTTCGGATTTTCTTCCTTTCTCGTTCCATTGTATCAAATTCGGCATCGGCACATTCCTGGAGTCCTTGTTGTGCAACTTGAAATCCTTGTTGAGTTATTTTATGAACAGATTGCCTTCCCCTTTTCTATCATAAGTTCGATAAGAAGTGAATAAGAAGTTGTTTGGATGCATCAAAGAGATTAATAAGTACTTGCCCTGTCAATCTCCAATTCCAAGTCGATCAAATCGGATTCTAACTTCAATGATATGATTTGATCCTTTTTCATCCAAACTTCGTTATTTTGCATGTTCTCCATCTGAAATAGGTAATTAAGTTTACTAATGCACTCTTGAAGTATTGGATGGGATGGAAGTTCACAAGACGCCACGGACACTGTTCCGACCAATGTTTCTATGCCCACACACACGCGGAGCTACCCGTCAGTTTTACGCTCGGAAAAACTTTCTCAACACTCGGTTGCCGGATTAGACATAGAGTACACCAGCTACGTTTCTATAGCCACGCACACGCGGAGCTACCCGTCAGTTTTACGCTCGGAAAAACTTTCTCAACACTCGGTTGCCGGATTAGCTATAGAGTACGTTGGCACCATCAAATCTGCGAAGCCAAAAAAAATTGTACTTTCCTTGTTTTGCAAATCACAAGCTATTATATAAGCAGGTTCCGTACTATCGTATATCCGCTTTAGGACTCTTAATTCTTCAGCCAAAGCTGAGTGTGAATTTTGTTTATTAACTGTTACTGAGTGTGGCTGTTCAATCCAGTAAATGTCCCAATCGTTGACGTTCCCCCAGGTGTTAGGGTCTCGATCCCAGTAATCTGGATAGCCAAAGTTTGTAACACTCATTTGTCCTGACTAATAACAATAATAGGTATAAAGTAGCAGACTTACTTGGATGTCTTAACTTTAAGCGATCCTCTTTCGACATGTACATAAGAATATTTGCGAATAAAAATATACCTAAAAGATATGATCACACGGCTGATGATCACGTTATGTCCGCGTGACAAATTGTCACGCAGATCACTTTTCGCACGTCTGAAATGTGTGACAGGTTATGCCGATTATATGGCTTAAAGTATGTGGCGCATTTTTCAAAAAAAAGCGTC